GGAGAGACTGCGTCTCGCATACCGCAAGGTCGCGGGACCGGACCAGGGCCGGCATTATTTCGCCGCTCCGAGCAACTAAATTCTTCCTTACCCATTGATCCCATTGTACGAGTCTACCGCTATTCGTCATCGTTCATTCACACGTAAAATTTTACGCTTTCCTTTCGGATACTTTTGGGACTTTAAAACGAGTCACCAGTTGTACTTTCCTATTACTCCTTATAGTAGTTGACGATCCGAAAAAAAAGAATCTTTTAAAATTCATTGTTAAAAATTTATGAGCGGAAGTGTATCTTACTTCACCAACCTGTTATTTTAATGTCACGATTATTCCGATTGACCCAACTCAATATTTTTTCATGTAAAAAACTAACGAGAATGTCACCTGTAAAGGTATAGTTTCAAGTCACACGTACTCCGACTTTGCCTTCATGAAGTAGAGAATGTGTGTTTGAATACACACACTATCACATACATACACAAATACACACACACACACACACACACATACACACACACACACACATACACACATTTATGAAACTAAAGAGCTATACGATAACCACGGTAGTAACGTGTACTTCCGGCTTCCAGGTGAAAGAAAGGAGAATAAAGCAAAAGAAAGAAATACATACACGATACTGTCGAAGGCCTCTTCAACATGATCTATAATTATTGACGATATTTTATCGATATATCCTAATAAATATATTTGCAGCGTATTGCGGAAGCAAAACTTACGGACCGATTGATCGACAACGTCAGAGCTCCTCATAAAAACGTACTGACATCACCAATCAAGGCACGAGTTTATTCAGATCTTGTTTACAGCGAGCGACAATTCTCGGATTTCACGACATGTTTAAAAATATCCAGTAGATTCTTCATCGTACACTGGCAGATTCTTGTATTGAATTGATCAGAGAATCTTTTCGAATCGAGATCAATTAAAATTACGTTTGAAAACACCAATCACAATTAATCTAGTTGAATTGATTCTAGAAAATTAAAATAGAATTTTGGTACATATATATATATACATATATATATATATATATATA